CTTATCAACAGAACCCCCCTGTCAACCCCCTGCTAAATTTATAATTTCTCTATGTTTTCTTGATCGCCCCCCTAATAAGCATCCATTCGTTTTTCTACAGTCACGAAGGATTGAATATGATATGAGACGCATGTTGCGTAAACGATGGCTAATTTATTAGAGCATGCGGCATGGCATGTGCAAAAGAAAGACGCATTTGGACCAATCAAATCAATCGAACAAGAGCCTATCGGCCAAAACCCCCTTTTATCAGAGATCCTAATTTATCAACCAATTCACTCGTTGCTTGTGAAATATTTTTAAAAGTGAGAACAATCTGTCAACTTTTGACTTTGACTCGTTCTTCTCCAGCTCAGTGAATATTCTCAGAATTCTCTCTTCGTCAGCCTGATATGCTTCAAGTTCAATATGTTCATCCGTTTACCTTCCACTGTAGTCAGTACTTTGAATAGTATCCAACTTTGGATCTTCCTTGAGTCTTGCTTGTTTACAACATCCTTTTTCTGACTCGCCATGCGCAATATTCTTAGTTGTATCAGTCGATATCTTTTTCTCTATTGTTCATATGTATTCTCACTTCTCGTTTCTCCAAATATCGACTTTGAAAATCCTAATGTATCCAACAGGCACGTTTGATTAGCCTTGCTCACGGTATATCCAAGAGTAGGTATATCCCCTGTGGAGAAGGGCAATATTCATAATCTCCGATGGAGTGAGGATGTGGCTGCTGATTTAATGTCTCAGTTATTATTGGTTGCTGATGGGCGGCTCTTTATGCTCCATGGTATAATGTTTGATAATATAGCTTCTCCCAGTCCCAACAAATCAAAAAATCCATAAGTATCCAACTTAAATTTGAAACTATAGGTAAACTCAAAGCGGTAGTCAGGCTTGTAAAAGTGTTCCCCCTAAATGATTAACAACATAATCCCCCGCCTAAAACAGACAAATGTAGCCCTCAATCATGAGGAAGCGCTGTGGATCCCCTAGGATGACTTCTAGCTGCCCTGAAGAATGGGATGGTAGGTTGGCAACTGAAATTGACTGGTACTACATGAGGTAATAGATAGATCCAATGATAGAAACTGATTTTTCAATCTTGCAGATAGAGCACTACCATGTATTGTCGAGTATCGTTCAGACTTCTCTGATGGTAGATTGAAATCAACTGCTGATATTGGTATAGGTAGGTACTAGTAGGTAGTAGTCTCTTCACCTTTAGAATCAAGTCATTGTCTCAAAAGGATACAAAAAGGTTGATTGTATTGTCGTCAGTAGAATATACAATACCCGAATCTGAAAGCATCATCTATGACTATACTGTATCAGACTTTCCTATCGCGGCTATTTGGCCAGCAATGAACCATGCAATGTTTCTATCTATGTTTTCGCCTGTGGATCTTACTCAAAAGCGGTTGATTATTGCATGCCTTCAATCGTGGAACACGTATTTACTCCCTTTGCAATGAAATCGGGCTTTGTGGTGGCCCTTATTCATCTTGCTTGATTCCCAAAATGTTGAGTCCATTGAGGACACCACCTGATCCACTATTGGCTGGTTCTCACAAGCCTCGCATAAGTAAGCGTTTCAATAGTACCATAGCAATAGTATCAGCTGCTAGAGTTGAGCAGTATTCATACCTTGATTCACCTTGCTTCCAAATGGTTTGTTGTTGACACAAGATCGGGCTGCCGTCTTTATACAATGACATCACTTTCATGCTTCCAACAATCTTGAAGTATTTGAGACACCAATAATAGCGGTGCAATTAGCCTCCGAGTTTTGATTTAATCTGTGATATACAGGGATAGTAGATATTGTTATTGGCTTAGAGGTGCTTGGACATCATTTCAATATTGTAGGCGGTTCAGATGCATCAATTATCACATCGATTGTTACCTCGTTCTAAATCCGTCTAAATCCTGGCTAACGCCAGGATCATAGCGTATGTCATTTTGCGACCCCATGTGTGAAACCAGCACTGTGTTGTATAGCCCCTTCATTGCAATCCCATTGCTTTCTCCTCTTTCTTCTCTCTTCGTTTTTTTCTTTCCTTTCTTTCCTTTCTCTTCCTCTCTCCACTTCTTTTCTCCCCGGGGATCTATCATCGTATAAAAACTGCTCCACCAGCATGAAATAAAACCCCCAAAACGACCACGTATACTGTTGCAATTTTATTACAGACAGCATCCAGCCATCAACATGTACCAGTAATACCAGAAGTAGTAAGAATAGCAGATGTGCCCAGCACATGCAAGGGCAAATGAGCAAAGAATTGTCGACAGCTATAAAAGAGAGGTCATGTCAGAGTCGGAGTCGGAGTCGCAAGTCGAAGAACCAGCTTCCAAGAAACAATCTGTAGTACCAAACGATGATCAAAATATAGATTATAAGAAGCTATATGAGAAGACTTTGGAGGACAACCAACAGCTGAAGGCCCTCAACTCTGTAACGTACTACACGACCTCTAATGACCTTTGAAAGCCTGAACTTGTAGAATACAAACAAGATCATCTTGACTCCTTGACGAGAGAGAAGCCCCCAACCATTAGAAGGAATGAGACAGATTACTATCACCGAACTTTTCAGATTGTATCCGATAATATAGGTGCGTATGTCATTGCTGAACGCGATAGGCGCAGCGGAGTGTCATCCAGTGTACCAGCAGATACAATTCGGGTTGAATTTCTATCAAAGGAAATCAGACATCCTTGTTGAACAAGCGGGATTGCGAAGTATCATGGACCACAGGAATAGACTGCCGAGAGCATGGTAATTGCTCAAAGAAGCGATGACATGAGGAAGTGACATCAAAGGGCTGGAGCAAATCAAGAGTAGAAGAACAAGAAGTGGTGATGAAGAACCAATCACTAGTTTTAACAAGTATCTTCTATTTGTAGTATGTTCTACTTTGGGCTATGTTTCACTGACGCAGTTCATCGTCGTGGTTTCTTGTTTCATGGGAGGGAAGATCATCGCTGGTCACAATTTTGATGGCTTCGTCAAGGATAGCAAAGAGTCGTCCGGAAGAAGAAACACTGTCATCCTCGTCGTTGTCAAGCAACAATGTTTCAAAGGGAAAGGCAGTATGAGCTGGCCATGGAAAGCTCGTTGCGCTCATTACTGATTGCTGACCAACAGATGGCCCATTGCTGGTAGAAGTATTGTTACAGTCGGTGGCGGGAGTTGTCGAGTTCATTATGATAATCTGGGATGTTATGTACCGGTATTCGTTTGGGCGAAGAAATTTGTGCGGAAAACTGACAAGAGTTCAAAGTGATGTGGGAACACGCATGATATTGGTCCTCTGGTTCTAACGCCAATAGAATTCTTTCACACCGTATCGGTATACCGTGGGGACAGAAAAGGCGGGTTGGATCACAAGAACCTTACTGGAGGATTATCGGAGAAAAGCGATTAGACTTATTTTCTCCGTTGACAGCTGATTTGGCCCAGAACTTTCATTTATGACAAAGCAGTCACCGCTGACGATCGTGACCTAGGTTATTTATGAGTCGATGATCAAGAGAATCAGCATGGTTTGAACAGAAGGTGGGAAAATGAAATCGAACGGGAGCAAAATGATCAAACGATCTCGGGCAAACACAATTAATTAAAATTCCGTCGAAGTGGTTCGCTAAATGGCTACAGTACTACCGTAATGTGAACTTCGAATCAATCATGCAAACACGACAGCAGCAATACGAATACTTCGTGCCTCTGGGTGGGGGAATGATCAAACGATCTTGTTTTATGGATTCGTTGAATGGTTACTGTACACTTTTTCCCGTTCTTTCTTTTTGTTGGAAAAAATCCAAGTTCCAGTGTCCCAAAGGTTTGGGAACTCAATTGCAGTAGTAAAAGTGTGAATAGGAATTTCCTGTCAGGACGAGCGATCTCTCTTGCTTATATTTTGCCTCATCAAAGGTACCGGTAGCAATACATTTTGTGATCATGACCATCGCAACCGAAATGTGGACACCGGAACAACTATGACCAGAACAGAATGATAAAATGAATTGGACCATTTTACGATTGTTGGCACTTCGCTATTGCTACTATTATTGAAAAGTTGAGAAATCGGGCTCGACGGCAGTGAAATATTATCATATTGTTCTCACTTTATCACTCCTATAGCATGACTTCTTGTTCTTTCTTCATACAATTTTAGAAGGTACTGCTCATTTCCAAATTACATCGTGCCACAAATCAGAGGGTGCATTTGGATCAACTAGTCAAGAAGTGTTTGTGGACTTTCTACGATCCAGGAGGAGTGAGTTCCCCGGCTGCGCTCGCTCTACTTCATCTCTCCTGCTCCTTTTGCTATGTATATGGCTGACTACCGCGAAAGCTACTCTGGACCGCGTGCTCATACTTCAAGGTCACATTCGCAGTCACTGTCGTAGTCAATATCGCAGTCGTTGTCATAGTCACAGTTGTAAACTGTAGTGATATTGCCCTTTCCCATGATCATCTCTGATAGGCGATCGCTGTTGTCAAGAAGTAGTTCACTCGCTTGTCTTTCAGAAAGCGAGGACATGCTCCTTCGTATGACGACACGACTGGGGTTAGACTGAGAAGAATTAACGGTTGCAAGAGCTTCACGTTCTTCAATCAAGGATTGCTTCGAAGAGGTGCTGGTCGGGGTCGCAGTATTCTTCGAAATGACGAATCGCATTGAGTAGCTGTAGTTGATTCTCGCAGGATGTAGTTGTCTAGTCAACTTGGTGTCCATACTACCGCATCTGAGTCGATAGTGTCCATTGTGGTGTGAGGCATTTTTCGTTAGCTTGTTTGTTGTTTCCTTGTGGTCGATTTTGTGAATGGCAAATATATGTTCTCGCGGAATCTTTAGACGTGATCCACCGGAAAACTCGAAACGAATTTATTACTATTCTATAGTGTAATACCTCAACAAAGCCCGATAGAGTTCGCACTGTGATATTTCGAACTCTGATTTGATACAACGCGAACAACGTGCGGTGACATCGTGTCACTACTGGAAACAGTAACAATCACTTGACGTAGTACCCATTGTATTCCTTTCCAGTGAAGGCTTCACCATGGGACCAATTCTTTGTGGCGTTCGATCTCCAATTTTCTTCAGAGGCTTTTATTTACCAAATCTGAAAGAGAGCGCAAACCTTACACAAGTGACGCTCCTCCTCAAAGAAATTCGAGGTATCCTCCCGAATCTTGTTCCGGCGGCGTCTTCGTACACTGTCTTCTCCCATCCACCAACGGTACTACCCTAATAAAAATATATATAAAATTGACCAGAAGGTTATTGCATTTTTACTTTTAAAGGGCTCTCTTTTTCCTGATGATCGTGATTTTTTGTTGCGGTGAAATTGCATCGAGTTGAAGAGTCGAGTCGTCGGCACTAATGAGTTATCATTCTAAAAATTGATTTTGGTTCTCATTTTGATCACTTGTAAGGACTTGTTCTTCCAGTGTTAGAAGGTACAAGTGGATTGTGGGAACGATAGAGTAACTTTGAGGGTGTTGAATTTGGGCAGACTAGGCAAAAAATGTTTTCTCCTGTCCAGGAGGAGTCTGTGCCCGTTCCACATCATCTCTTGCTTCTTTCTTGACGAGCTCATATCTCAAGGTCACTATCACAGTCACTGTCGTAGTCAATATCGTAGTCGGCACAATCATCATATGTTGCGCTCTTGCCCTTTCTCATCATCTCTGAGATGCGATCGCTGTTGTCAAGAAGTAGTTCATTCGCTTGTCTTTCAGAAAGCGAGGACACGCTCCTTAGTATAGCGACAGGACTCGAGTTTGACTGAGAAGAATTAGTGGTTGCAAGAGCTTCACGATCTTCGATCAAGGATTGCTTCCAAGAGGTGGTCGGCGTCGCAGTATTCTTCGAAATGATGAATCGCATTGGGTAGCTGTAGTTGATTCTCGCAGGATGTAGTTGTCTAGTCAACTTGCTGTCCATAATATCGCATCTGATGTCGACAGTGTCCATTTTGGTGTGAGGCATGTTTCGTTAGCTTGTTTGTTTCGTTAGTTTGTTTGTTTCGTTGTGGTCGATTTTGTGAGCCAAATCGCGATAGGCAAATTGAAAAAATGACATGGAGGTTATCGACGGTCGCGTAGTGGCACAACCGAACGCGTCGCGTTTTTTGCCGAACTTTGCCTTTGTTTGGTTCCACAAGAAAAGTAATCGTGAAAGTGACGCTCCTCGAACAAGTGCGTGGTTTTCTAATCTGTTCCGACGGTGACTTTTAACAGCAGTACTCGAAAAGAATTTAGCAGTACCGTATTGGTATACGTACCCTGGGAGGATGAAGTCCGCAGTGGCGTTCGCACTTCAACAAAAGCACTTCTGAGATAACATAACGAACTCGGCCACATTTGATCGGAGCAACATGCCAATATTATGAATAGTAGTGCTCGGTTCTGGTGTCACTACCGGAAAGAGTTAGCAGTCATCTCCTTTCTTCCATCTCCTTTCTTCCAGTGAAGGCTTCTTCATGTGACCAATTCATTTTGCATTTCAATTACTTTATCCCATACAGGCTAGCAAATGAGGGCATGAATCGGCCCCGCGTGTGTACTCCTTTTCAAGTGATGGCTTCTTCATGGGACCAAATTATTGTGCCATCTAATCTCCAAAGGATGGAAAATGCAAAAAATCTGAACTCCAGCGCAAATGCTACCGGTACAGGCCCTTTCCAGGGAGGAGCTGTTATGTAAAACGGTAACATACTCGTGCTCTTTTGGAAATCTCGTGGAACCCTCCCACATGGAAACAGAACGCAAATAGCCGAAACCGATCACGTCAATGAGTACCGGAATTTAAGCCCTAACCCTCACCCAATTTGCACACAAATTTGTCACCACGCGCACGAGCTCATGGTTCCTATGGAATCGAGGTAGTCGAAGCAATCGAAGATTGATCGATCGAATCAATCAATCAATCAATCGATCGATCGATTGATCGATACCTACCGGTGTACATCGCATCGACCGGAGGGGCCACTGCCTAATAGTTGATTTCAAATTTGATATCTATCTTTTATGTAGTATGTAGTGTAGAAAATGCCTACTGACGCGGCTCAGGATGGCTTCCTGTTTCGAAGGGAAGGTCAGTGCTGCTCACAACTTTGATAGCTTCTTCTAGGATGGCAGATGGTGGCCGCAGGTCTTGAGAAGCACCGTTGCCAGGAAAATGGGGAAGGCCAGCGGGAGCTCGCAATCGAAAGCTTGCTGGGATCGTGGCAGGAAGTTGCCCAATTGCTCCATTGGTAGAAGTATTGCAGTCGGTGGAAGTTCTGGAGTTCATGATTTTCGATTTTGCAGAATTGTTCTGGTGAGAGAAATTTGTGGGAAAAATCGGAAAAGTCCACACTTGCGGGCACAAACTCCTTGGTACAAACGCCCTTCCGTCTACGGAATGACCGCCTTAATTGAAAATCTGCGACCACTTCGGTTTTGACCAGAAGGTTTTATCAAAAGAACGGCGTGGCCTTTCGCACGCGAACCAATTTTGTGAATTTGCTACGACGCAGGATCGATTTGCTTTTTATTGAACACAAAATTTCTCATTGTGTTCCAGTGGAAAATGACCTGCAGTAGCAGGAATGGAGCTGCAGTACACGTACCACGACCACGTGAGAATGATCAAACTCGTCATGGCCTGTGCGACGAACAGATCTAAAAGTGGAAAGTTTCGACTATCTGGTAGCAAGCTAGAGCTGGTTGTGAAGTATGTTTGAGTATGTTATCATTTTGCATTTGATCAGGTAGGTCCTACTACACTGGCTCCGTAGAGCTGGCTTTTCAAAAAACAACGTCGTTATTCATCTTTAGGGATTCATCGCAAGATATCCATCTCTTCTTTTAATTGGTATCCCTCTGAGGGAGTGTCTCTTCCACAAAGCGCAGAGCTTCGTTTACGTTATTCTTGTCCCTCCATGAACGGCCTGTAGATGCGGACGATGTCCCCATGCCAAGATTGTATTCGGAACGAAGGGATTATTGACCACACCGTCGCCCAGCACCGAAACTCTCTTGCAAGATTTGGATTTGTTCGTCTAATTTGCAGCTTCAGGTAACAATTGAACCAAGTTTGATAAGAAAACTACCACAATCTTTAAGGTACATTTTAGATCTGGTGCTGCGCTGGTCGCTTTATATACATTCAATGCTTCCTAAGCAGTTTTTCGAGCCGCTGCTGTTAGCATGGAAGCATCTAGTTCCAAAGGACGACACAACACCTCTTCCTCAGCGTCCGAATCATCTGGATCATTAGGGGAACCACCTGTTGGAGCAAGAATAGCCTCAACTGTGATATCTTTCTCGCCACTCTGCTGTAACAAATCCTTCTGCTGCATCTCCCCCAGAAAGGCAGGTAGGACAGACATATTCAAATACAGTATGGCAAGAAATGGTACGGGGGACAGACGGACCATGAAATTTGTGTCTCGTCAAAATTTGTCTCTTAGGCGGAAAGTTATCGAACCAAAAATGATGCATGCAGCGTGAATTTTTCCACGCTGGACAGTTACTTCCGGGTACCCCCCTTGAGCTGCATCCATTTTGGCCCAAGCTGGACGATTGTCCATGCACGGTGCATTTTGAAATCGAACGATTTTGATTGGCCAATTCTCAAAAATGGTTTCGAAGACCTCAACTCACAATTCACATCAAAATAAGAAAAGACTTCATAGCACTTGATCTTCTGCTCTTTTCACTAGTTTATCATGACTAATGCCGTGTCAATTTTCGCACTAGACTCTGATAGCGAGGACGATGATAACCTTCATTACAACATTGGTTTGAACAAACAGAATTACAGCGCGAAAACAGTTGTAATATGTACGGAATAGACTGAAACGGCAAGATGTGTGCATCTACTCATACTATACTGCTATTTATCAGTTGCAGAAAAAGACGGCCGCAATCAAAATCGTGAAAAAGTGGTGTGCCAAACGGCTTGTCAATGTAATCGTGTCAAACAAAATGCGCAACCAACTTCACCTTCGAAACGAATCTATTACAAGAGAAGAGAACAAAGGGCTCACTTGAACGTTCACGGCAAACCTTCACCGGCGTCCCATCTGCAATCTCCTTTCGACGATTCGAAATATTTCACATGTTTCATTGATTGTGAACTAATTGCAAAATTTACGCTCTGTTTTGTCATCACTAATACCTATTGCTTCATGGCCTGCTCAGTCTTTTTCTGGGTCTCTAATAGAACTTCGATACTTGTGCTTGTTGCTGCAACGTCTGGATGATCCTTGCCAAAAGTCACAACTTGAATCTCAAGAGCCTTTCGGTACATTTTGATGGCTTCGTCTAGTTTGTCTTGGCTTTCCAAGACTTGAGCGACGTTTGTGTAGGAATGGGCTACGTCTGGGTGATTCTTTCCAAAAGCTTCCTCTCGAATGGAAATCACAGTCTGGTGCATCTCGATTGATTTGTCATAGTTGCCAAGGTCTTCATTCGCTACTGCCATGTTGTTTAGCGTATCGGCAACCTTCGGATGACGATCTCCATAGACTTCTTGACGAATCGATAGTGCCTCTTCATAAACCTTTAGTGCTTCCGATTGCTTGCCTTGACGATCGAGGACGCTGCCAAGATTGAAGAATGTATTCGCGATCTTGGGATGCCGAGTACCAAGGGTTTCGAGACGGATTGATAGTACATCCTGATACAGTTTAATTGCTTCATCAAACTTCCCAAGATCCTCGAGCACGGCTGCCATATTACTGTAGGTCGTTGATACTTCTGGGTGACGATTTCCGAGGACCTCCAATCGAATCTGAAGAGCATTTTCATAAGCCTTTATGGCGTCTTCATATTTGCCCTGACCATCTAGCACAAGACCCATGTTAAAGTACAGGTTTGCAGTTTTTGGATGAAGCTTTCCGAGGACCTCCAATCTAATGCTTAGCGCCTTCTCGTATGCTTTCATTGCTTTTTCCTTTTCACCCTGACCTTCCAAGACAAGCCCCATATTACTCAGTGAAGTAGCAATGTCGGCATGCATATTTCCGTAGACCTTTAACCGAATTGTCAGTGCAGTTTGATGCATTTCCATGGCTTCGTTGTACTTCTTTTGGTGATACAATATAGTCCCCATACCGTTACACGTGTCAGCCAGGTCTGGGCTCTCCATCCCGTAGGCCTCCAATTGAATGGAGTGAGCCGACTGATACATGTTCATGGCTTCATCATCTTTGCGTTGTTTTGCCAACGCAGTGCCTAGCTTGCTGTATAAGCTTGCCATAGCCGGGCCTCGATCCCCATGTTGTGCTCCTTTCTGAATCTTCAATGCCTTTCGGTACATCTTTTCGGCTTCCTCAAATCTTGCTTGATCAGACAAACAATTGCCCATATTTCCATACGTTTCTGCAACATCTAGGTGGTCCTTTCCAAACGTCTCAACTTGAATCGACAAGGCATTTCGATAGGCCCTCATGGCTTCTTCGTTGCGGCCTTGCTTCTCGTAGGCAATTGCAAGATTGAAGTATGTATCAGCTACTTCCGGATGATGGCTTCCCAAGTTGTCTACTCGAATTTCAAGGGCCTTGCGATACACCTTGGCTGCCTCTTCGTATTCGCCTTGATCATCCAAGACATTTGCCATGTGAAATACCGTGTCGGCAACTTTTGGGTGGTTGTTTCCTAGAACCTTCAATTGGATCGACAAGGCATTGGAATGCATTTCGTACGCTTCCTCCAATTTGCCTAGAGCTTCAAACACACCCCCAATGTTTCCATAAGCACTCGCGACATCTTCATGGAGATCACCAAAGACCTCTCGTCGAATGGCAAGGGTCTCTTCGTAAATCTGTAGAGCTTCCCCATGCAAACCCTGCTCTTTCAGGACCAGTCCCATGTTGCTCTTGATCACAGCAGTCAATTGTTGACTTCCAGATGTCTCAACTTTGGCCTTGAGGGCTTTTTGATACGAGTCCATGGCCTCATCATATTTGCTTTGTGTCACAAACTCATTTCCTTTGTTAATGTATCGATTTACGGCGTCTGGTTGCTTCTTTTTCAATCGCCGATCGAGATCCATGATTGCACTCCTTAAATTTGCATCATTGTTGCTTTGGCTCCCTCGCGAGTTCGACGATGGCCACAAAATGCTTGCTACGGGGGTCGACTTGTCGTTTCTCCTCATGTTGGTATTACTACTAGATGATCCACCACTATCGGAACCGTCTTGAATACCATTGCTCAGAACAACATGACTTTCTGCAACAGGAGCTGCGGTGTAGGATCCACCATCCACAAGTGATGCAAAGCCAACCACCCGTCGTTTGTTTTGAACATTTTCCAGATACTTGGTTTCTAGGGCTTCCAACAAATCCTTAAATTCCTCGTTGTTGCTAATGTCATAGACACCTCCATCTTCTATTATGGTAATTGTCTTTGTTGACATGGCTGCTGCGATGTGTGTATGATAGAGTGGTGGTGATGAAAAAACAAAGATGTTTGAAAGGATCTATATACCTAGAACGAGTGGAAGAATGGTGTAAGCTGAATGAATATAGTCTTGTTGCGGTGATGGCCAAATTTAGATACCCAAACCAGCTGGCCGAAAAATTTGGCGGGCTTTTCCTGTTTCCGTTCCGAAATTTTGACTAAGTCTGTACTTTGATTTCATTTTGCAAACTATGGCATACTGTATTGTTTCAGTTGATGTTATCATTTTTCATTTGCTGCTATTGTACCATATTTCAAAAGTTCGTTACAGCACTGGCATTGGCACGCCGTCAGTCTATCAACGACGGCTCTTGAAGATCCAGAGAATGTAATCATCAATATCAAAATTATTGGAATCACTAGTCCCACCGTAGTACTAGTAGCTAGGAGTCGACTTGTTTATCGTCGACAGCACACAGCACCATAGTCCTCTATGACATCTACTGTTGGATCAAATACGACGAGACGTGGTGCTCGAAAGTCGACTTTGTTCGGAGAGCACTGGTAGATGAAACTTGTGCTCTGGAGTATCTTGAGCTCTTGTCACTGGCTTGAGTATCGGCAGTATGCGTGGTGGCACTCTCATCGCGATGACTTGTTGGAGCGTCCAATCCATTGGACAGGAGTGCGGAGTAGAAACAGGGCTTCATCGTTTCTCCACCATCGGCGTACCTCACTTGATTACCCCAAATACTTGATGTGCTACTTTTGTCACTTGTTGCACTTGAGTATCGCTCTTCAATTGCTTCCAATCGAGTCGTGAGCGCCAATTGATGCATACGCCGTGCTTCATCATGTTCGCCTTGCATCCAGTACACAGTCCCAATATTGCTGTAGGTTTTGGATATAGTCGGATGGTTCTTTCCAAGGAAGGTTTGTCGAATCGAAAGTGATTTGCGGTACATCTTCATGGCTTCTATATTGTTGCCATGTACCATATAGTCTTGTGCTAACTGGCTGCAAACTTCCGCAACGTCGAGGTTGTCATTGCCGAGGTGTGCCTTCCATGCATCCTTTCGATCTGGTCTATTCTTGTAGAAATCGGCTGGCAACTCGATACACTGTAAAATCTTTCCACGTCGTTTAGTGATAGTCGTAGTAGTAGTACCAGTCTGTCGGCCTTCTTCTCCTTCTTTTTTAGACCACCATGAAGAAGATGAGGAGCGATGATCATCTTGCACGTGGTTGTGCCATTCGTTTGGTGAAGTCACTTGGGACATGTCATCATCTGCACCTCCTCCTCCACTTGGAAAAGAAATATATTCGACAGGACCGGCAACAATTGTGAAAATGCCGCCATGGGCGGGAAGGGATGCATAGGACAAAAAGCGATTCTTGGTGTGGGCATGCTCCAAGCAGTGTGCTTTGAACTTGGCCATCAAATAGTCCCATCCCCGTTCGTTGGCAATCGAATAGACACCACCATTGATGCCGTCAGCAATCGTTACGATTTTTGTCTCCATGATGTTATATACGATGGTACGAGGTGATGGTTCTTGTTCGTCTTTGTCTGCCTGGCTCCACCATCCATCTTTCTTCGGATCGTGCTTTCATCTTAGCACTGTTCCTATATATGCTGTGGGATCCGAATGGTGCGCATTGTCTTGCAGCGGGACTTGGTGAGATGGCTGCATCGAACGAAATTGCGCTCGTGTGCGTCCATCAATTCAAAGATGCGAGCGTTGAGGCGGAAATCTCATTCCGACCAACGGACGTCACGAGGCGGTATTTTAATATTTGGGGGAGGGGTGAAAACAATTGATCAAACGAGTCCAAAATGATCCAGATAAAAATGAACAAAACAAACACCACACCAACAGCTTGCATGCACAACCCGCAGATGACGTAATGAGATCCTTTGTCTTAGTTGGGTTACTCTAAAACTGCCTGTTACCCAGGGAAATAGCCAGATAGTTGTGGGGAGGGAAACGGATTCATTCCGTAACATATTGACACCAAGGAGAGTGAGTCAGTCGGTCATCAATCCAACCTCCAGAAGTCTCAATTGGCATCATCCATCTCGTTGCAGTGAGACGATGTTGCAAAGAGCAAAGGGTACTCATCGATCTAAAAGAAGAAAGTATCCATGGCTGCTCTACGTGGCTGCCATCTTGATACTCTCGACGGGAAGATATATTTTGTTGAGTGCCTTGTTGGGCACTTGGGATTCTTCTCAAGTCTCATGGTCATTATCCCTGGAATCCATCACGACGGTTCCAGCAATGAAGAAGAATGGTGCCAGCTTTACCATTGTGGTATTGGGTATGGATCGTTTCAATTCCATGAAACGCCTCCTTGATTCTCTGGATGCGACGGATTATGGTTCCGATCATGTGGATTTGGTGATTCGCTTTGACCGACCAACAATAATAGCAACTGATGGTACGGCTGGTGCTGAATGGCTCGTCCAAGTGGAAGAAATTCGATCTAGAGTTTCGTCTACCTGGAAGCAAGGGAATGCTATTATTGTCGTCGCCAACGAACCAATGGGCCTTCGAAGATCATGGTTGGAGGCTTGGAAGCCACAAGATGAACACGAACGCGCCATCATTCTAGAAGATGATGTGGAGGTTTCTCCGATTTGGTACAGGTGGCTTCAACAAGCCCATGATACCTATGGTGAACGCTCAGATTTAGCTGGTATTAGTTTGCAACGGCAAACTTTGATTCCAAAGATGATTCCTATTCAAAAGGGACGACGAAACCGACGAATGATGAACAAGAAGAAGAATATCATGGTCAAAAATAAGAAGATTTTGGAAAGCCCCAAGGAGGGTCAGCCATTTCTGTTCCGACTTGTCGGATCTATTGGTTATAGTCCAAAGGCATCTGTTTGGATGGACTTTTTGGACTTTGCCAACTGTGCGTTGGACACGAACTTGGATGTCAGCGTTCCAGATCTGATCACTTCAGGCTGGTATGGTTACTTTGACAAGACGTCCATGTGGACACAGCTCTTTATTTATTTCTGCAACCATCAAAAGTTGTCGACTCTATATTACTTTCCTCCCAACAATCGTGTCCTGGCAGCTCATTGGAGGGAAAAGGGGGCACATCTTTCTGCCAGTTATGGTCGGGACTTTGAACTCGCCACAGCGCACGACGAAGACCTTCACTTTCCTTCGGAACTGGCATCACTGGACTGGGACGCCAAACCCATTGAAAGTCAACCAACTGTGAGACCTTTGGTAATGAGTGTTGCTTTGCATTATGGCCGAGAAGAGTTTGATCGATTCGTCCTTGGCCTGCGGAAATATTATCGCGGGGATATCGCTCTCCTTATATCTTCTTCGGCAACTGCTGAAATCAAGGACCTGCTAGTCGAACACAATGTCACTTTTCTGGAATCAGACGCAGAAGGTGGCCGGCAATTCACTCCCAAATGGAGACGTATCATCAAAACAAGGTACAAGTTCTACCAGGGCATGTGTCGGCCAGAGAAGTATGATGCATGCATGATTCTCGACTTTCGAGACGTTCTCTTCCAGTCCAATCCTTTGGCGCAAGTGAAAGTAGTACCGAGTGAACCAACATTGCATGTATACCTCCACAACATCAAAACCAATAGATGGGCAAAGAGACAAGTCATGAATTGCAAGGGTGCCAAGGCGTCGTGGTTGGAAGATCAATGGTTTATCAATGCTGGAGGTTTGATTGCCAGCCCTTCTATGATTGCAAAGATATCAACTCTCAACAGAATGTTCGGCTACAGATGCGACGATCAAATAGCATTGAACTTGGCAGTATATGGAAAGAAATTATCTGACAACAGCAGCATCATCATGCACAAGCAGGGAGAGGGAAGCATCAACAATGCTGCCTGGGGTGGTGTTTTCCACAAAGATTCTCGTCGACGCATTCTGAATCACGATTGCTTTCCTTCGCCAGTGGTCCATCAATTCGACGTCATTGAGAAAACCAAAGAAAGGGCCAAGCTTGGTTGAAGAAACCTATGGTTCGATATTGATTCGCATTTTGACTGGATTTGCTTGGATAAGGAGTATCCATTCGTAGCAATATGGACTGGATCCAGCTGTATCGACACATTGCTTTCCTATCCAGAATGGTGCATGTATTACACGCACTGAATGCCGCAGTATTTTAAGACCGGGGGGCTACTCTTTAATTGATTGATGAAGTATAGACTGTCTGTAAAAAGAGAATGAAAGCAAAACGCTGAAATCACATCGCCGGTCTGTTAGAAAGGCTAAAGGCCACCCGTTTCTTTTTATCACGCTTGGCTGCTTGAACTGAAACACGCTGCCGCCAAATCAGATTGACATTCATTCTTCCCGATAGCTGTAATACCTCTATAAAACCCTCGGTTCAAGTCACGCCACTGTTCGTTCTTCATTGAATAGCCAGTGCGTCGTTAAAAAGTTTTGTGGCTGCGTCATATTCACCTTGCTTGAAATGAACAGCCCCGAGATTACGATAGCTCTGGGCAACGTCAGGATGATTAGTTCCAAAAGCCTTCAACCGAATTGTTAAAGCTTGTTGATGGATTATACGCGCCTCTTCCCTATCACCGACATCATCCAAGGCGCCTCCCATATTATTCAGAACGTCGGCAACTGATGGATGTTCGTTCCCAAGAGCTTTTTGTCGAATCCTCTGTGCTTTTTTGTACATATCTAGCGCCTCTGTGTACATATCCATTGCATGAAGAACAATTCCAATGTTGTTGTAGGAATGGGCCACATCTAAGTGGTCATTACCGAAGGCAGTCTGTCGAATCACAAGTGCCTTCTTATGTGCTTTCATTGCTTCTTCGTGCTTTCCTTGGTGAAACAAGACTTGGCCAATGTTATTGTACGATTGGGCTGTGTCTGGATGACCGCCCCCGACGCATTGTAGCCTACTCTCAAGTGCCTTCTGAAAGTTATCCAGTGCCTCATGATTTCTTCCTTGATGAAGCATTACGATTGCCAAATTATCGAAAGTTGTGATGATGTCGGGATGGTGACGGTCGCGAGTTTGCAGCAAAACCGTGAGTGCTTTGCCAAACATCCTAATAGCTTCGTCAGACTTTCCCTGGGAGTGCAAGACATTACCAATGTTATCATAAGTCGTTGCCTATTTGTTTTGGGGGGTAAGATGCAATGAAACGGATTGGTCCTTGGTACGAACAATTGAGAGGTGGGGGAGTATATCCAAACTTACCAAACCTGGATGATTGTCTCCGACTCTCAATTGAATGGAACGCGCTTGCTCGAACATCTTCATAGCTTCTACTTCCCGACCCTGTCCCTCCAGCACAGATCCCATATTGTTGTATGATATGGCAACTGCTGGATGGTTTGGTCCAAGAGTTTCCAATCGAATTCTCAGCGCTCTAATACACATCATCATCGCCCTAACATTATTTCCTTTGTTGTGTAAGACTACTCCCATGTTGTTGTACACTTTTGCCTTCAGATTTTAGATTGTGAAGCACGAAGATAGGTTTGAATGAGAGACATGGGTGGTTAGAGACCTGCGAAAGGTTTCAGCCCTGAATGATTATGTACAAACCAAAAACTTACCACGTCGGGATGCTTCTCTCCAAGAATCTCCAACCGAATCGATAGTGATCGCTTGTACATGTCAATTGCTTCGTCGTGCTTGTTTTGATTATTCAAGACAACGCCCATTCGATATGTTGTATCAGCAACTAACTTGTGTCGATCTCCGAATACTTGCAACCGAATAGCCAGAGCCTGTTGCAGATTGATAACTGCTTTCTCATGGGCACATAAAGCCAAAAAAACAGTACCTAAGGCGTAATACGCATCCGCTGTGTCTTCGTGGCCATTGCCGAGAGCTTCCAAACGAATCGCCAGCACATGTTGATAAATTTGCATTGCCTTCTCATGTTGACCTAGGCTCGTATGGATTTGCCCCATGCTTTCGTATAAAGCGGCATTGTCCAAGTGGTTCTTGCCAAGTGCTCGCTCTTGAATCGAAACTGCGGCATTGTAGTTTTCTAAGGCTTCTTCAGGCTTCTGCTGACCTTGCAACAGTGCGCCCATTCGGGCGTAAACATCTGCACAGGACACATGATTGTTGCCAATACGACCCAATCGTATCGTCAAAGCCTTCTGATATACTTCCATAGATTCGTCCGATGAGCCTTGTGCGTGCAAGATGTCTCCAATATTGCAATATGTGGCGCTTACATCCAAATGATCATTACCTAGAGACTCAAGTCGGACCGAAAGCGACCGACGGTGCATCTCCAGTGCCTCTGCTGAGTTCCCCATATTATTCAACACGACACCGATGTTTTGCTGACAGCCAGCTATATCGGGGTGCCGGCTATCAAGAGTCTTCAATCGTATGGCCATTGCCTTTCGGAACGCTTTCAAAGATTCATCCCATTTACCGTCGTCATCAAGGATATTTCCGAGTGTGTCATAGGTCTTTGCCAAATCGAGATGACTATCGCCCAAGCAGTCTACTTGAATAGAAAGCCCTTCTTGGAACAATTTCAAAGCCTCCTTACGCCTTCCTTGGTGGTTCAGGACACTTCCAATCTCCATTATGGTAGTGGCAACGTCAGGATGGCTGCTTCCAAAGTTTTCTTGTCGAATCTCCAGTGCCTTCTTAAGATATGGAAGCGCCGCTTCCCACCGTGATTGATCCATCATGACACTACCCATGGCATTGCAAGTGTCGGCTACGTCTTCGTGATTTCTCCCGAGACACTCTACCTGAATTGCTAATGCTTCTTCGTATAGCAGCATTGCTTCGTCGTGATCACCCTTGCCTTGCTTGACGCTCGCCATGAGATAGAATGCCGTGGCAACGTCTGGATGTTTGTCTCCAAAAATTTCTAGTCGAATTGTCAGGGCTTCTTCGTACATTTTCAGTGCTTCCTCTGATTTGTCAGAAAGATCAGAAAGAACATTGCCAATGTTGTTGTACAAATCAGCAACACTTTGATTGCTCTTCCCAAGAATTTCCACCCGAATTTGAAGCGCCTCTTGATAAGAATCCAAGGCCTGGTCGTACTTCCCCTGGGTATAAAAAGCATTGCCTTGTGTATGGGAGGTGGAAGCCTTTTGCAATCGTTTGCAAAGTCGTCTCATTTTGTATTCCCTGTCCTTCTTCAAGGCTTGTCCAAATCCAAACCGATGTTTCGTCTTCTTGGGTTCGGGAAGAGTTTGAGAGTCATGATTGCTCGCAGCGGATGGATGACCCAGGGAGAAAGAATCAAAGGACGTGACAGGAGAGGTTACGGCGTCTTCCTTGTGAGTGTTTGGGACACTAATGTCTCGAAAGCCAGGAAGGCCCACTATCTTGTATTCGCCACCATCCAACAAGGATTGAAAGCCAAAGATGCATTTGTTGGTCTTGGCATCCTTCAAGTACTTTGCACTTTCGGCAGCCAAAAGATTTTTGAATTCTGACTGATTGCTAATATCGCAAACAATGTCACTGTCCACGATGGTTACTGTCTTCTTTGGGTATGCTTGTTCCATGATTATGTTTCCATTGCTGCCATCAGTAGTAATGGTACTGGTATACTGAAGGAAAGTCTCAACGATGATTGCAACGAGGTGCTGAAGTTCTTGAGAAGAATTCACCGGTGCCAGTCATTGTGCTGTCAGCTGTCACACAAGAAGAGCACAGTATCATGGTCTTAAAAGAGAGTTTGATGGAACTTTCTTTGGCACGTGTCCACATATCATATCCATCATCGCATTCCGACAAGAAAATATCTTCTCATTATGCGTCACAGATTTGAATAGTTCGACCAAATAAAGACTTTTCGCGAAATTGCTTTTTTTTTGTTGAAATTCAGCTGAAATTCAGCGACGCAATATGCGATGAGACCAATAAAGGTTGCCAAAATGTCAACAACGAGTCGATAGAAATACAATTGATAGCACTGACAGCTTTCGGCTTCTTTTGTAGTAGTTGCGATTGGTCTTGATCACATTCGGTTGCTTATCAATGTTGCTATATCCCTCCTCTCCTCATCGCTGATCTGGCTGGTTAGAGCTTTTGTACAGGACTTGGTCTTTCTTCCTCTGGCTTTTCGTTTGTTTGGGCATCTGAAAGTGTTTACCAAAAGTCTAGACCAGTGCTCTTTACACTGCTGGAAATATGAGTACCGGTATTCTATTCGACAACACAATAATGATTGCAAGGGTGTGGTGAGTGGTGAGTGTCATTTATTTGTAATTTGAAGAAAACAAATCGTGCAAAAAAATTAATCTCAAAACTTTTGCGTCGCGCACTTTCGCGCAAACCAAAGGTCAATGAATGATAAGAACGACGAAGATCATGTCACATGTCAAGAGTGTTTGGAACGTACAGCATACTGTAACTCATATTGAATGAATATACGCCTCATGCGAAGCATTAGATGATACATGTTATTATCCGGTTGTGATAGGGTGATAGTGCGATAGTCCCATCGCCAATTGATAGAAAAGGGTATCAGAGCTCCGTATAGTCCTGATGGCTAAACGGATCATTGCAGATTGCTTGCTTACTTTCCACCACGGAGGATCGCTTCTCGTCGCCGCCCAGCCACTTGTAGATTGCGGAGGCGATGATTCATCGATCAGCACGAGTCGATGTACGCACCAAAAGCGGTAGCCTTACAAGTCGTAGCAACTCCACCAAGTCCAAGGCAACCCCATTGCTTCAACGACGGAGGCATACCTTTTGGGCACTTATTCTGGGTTCCTTACTGTCTTGTTATTTGGCCACGGTTGTGTTGCTTTCCGAGAATGGATCCTCCGCTTTCACCACGTCGAGTGAAAACCCACTGTCTACTTTCAGCATGGGGAACGAATGGAAGGCGTTTTCGTCATCGGAAAGTCACAAGAATCGAAAGAGGAGCAACGGACGAGTCACGCAGAATCAAACCGTACTACTGTACATTGATGGTGAAATTTCAGCAGAGGACGAGAAGGCCGCTGCAAATTCCCTGCAGTCGTTGGTGAATCAATTTGGATCTCAGTCGCTGCAAAAATGGGAGGTTATTCGTCAGGCAGACAACCAAGAAAAGAATTTTGACATTGCAACACAAAATCTTCCGTGTGTTTGGATCACCAAGAAAGGACCCGTGCAATCGTCACTAGGTTCAAATCCAAGCGGAAGAAATGTACACTCGCGCTGTATTCAAATGGTGGCGACTGCAGCATCGGATGATCCAACTAATTCTTCGATGGACTGGAGATTGCACAAGCAGGGATCCGTAGGTTCCACAAAACCTGGCCGATCCAATTCCAACTCTACTATTTGTCTCCCCCGTCAAGTAGGGCCCCGCCAAGACTTTTGGCAACGAGGTGTCAACTTTGAAAGAGTGGGCCTATGGATGCAAGCCGCTTCAATTCGATCCTACGTTTGGAACCTGGCCTTGGTCCCTGACTCACAAGAACAATGGTTATCGGATGCTATCCACAAAGTTGGCAAAGAATCTTTTTCTGATGGACGCAACGCTTCAGGAATCGTAATTACCAAGCCCTTGGACGACTACAAACCAGTGCCCTACTTTCGTGATTTGCTGACAAGCGTATTCACAGTTGTTGTTTTCAAACCCGAATCTGCGGTTTCTTCGCAGCAGAATATCACTCCTCAAGGACGGAAACAACGCAATAAGAAGCAACGAAAAGAATCTCCGGGACAACACAAATCCATGTTTTGGAAGCAGCTGCAAGAAGTCATCTTGAGCGGGTCTATCCCCATTGTGATCACGATGGGGTCCCCCAATGCCCAAATGGATTGCAATCACGAATTGTTCTTTGGTTCAAACTCGCCCATTTTGGTGCTTCCCAATCAGATGAAACCTCTACTGACTACTTTATGGGAGGAACCTCCTGCTAAATTGAACGCAAGACAAGACGAGCTTCGGGTATGGTACCAACGTACGATGATCCAGAGAGCAATTCAGGTTGAAGATTGGATACTCGACACTACGCCGTCATCCAAAGCTCCATCGTCCGACCAACGCTTGCAATTGGCAAAGGAATATTTGCAGGATTTAACGCCATTTTTCTTGCAGCAGCGTAGACACGCTGCAAAGCCATTGTGTCTCACGCCTCCATTTTATGGACGAACCAACAACAAAGTTATCGAAATTGGAAAATTGCTCAAACTATCCTATCAAGAAGGGAAGCATCGTGCTTTGGCACTGGATCGACGATGGTCGAACTGGTACCGGCCACATTTCGATGAGCGTGACGACGTTCTGTTGGACTACTACCCTCATGGAGAATGTGAGAAAACTTTTACAGCTAGAGAAGCTTTTGAAATTACCGATTGGGATCTGTCATACTTGATTCACCTACTTCCTCGACATGACTATCGAGAACGAGCCGAAAAGATTATCAATACCTGGCAGCATGGGAATAACTACATTTCGGTACACCGTCGTGATTTGGAAGGTTCCTGTCATGTGCACGCCAAGTGCTCCGATGTCGAGTTGGAAACGTCGACCTGCTTGCAAAAGCGAGATCCCACCGAAATCTGCTCTGCGGAATTGCGACTTCGGGCGTGTGACATGGAATACAATATGGTGCCAAATCCAGAAGGTTTGCCCATTGTCTTGTTCACAGATGGACAAGTTCCAGCCAAGGATGGAACCTTCCCCCACATGTTCAATACCACCGATTTCTTTGTGGAGATGTGGCTCATGGTCAAGTCGAAAACTCATTGGGGAAATCCGAGGTCCACCGTGGATGCCGTGGTTTCTAGTTGGCGAGAAGGGCGCGAGATGGAACCAAAGGAATGCTATCCAACATAAGCCATCGGCACTTGTAACAGTGGTAATAATTGAACAGGTCATAATATTAGTTATTATAATTCGCTAGCTCTAGATTGCCTCCGTTTGCATCACATTGCCGTCGTCCATCATCAAATCGACTTTTCCACTGGGCGCATTGACAATTGAACCTCGCTCTATTGCCGGCAAGGAGTCCACGGCATATAGATTAGGTTCGGCGTTTGGAATCCCAGAAGCGCCACCCATAGAACCCCGAGGGAGACGTGCCACCCGGGCACACAGGTGTGGCATTCCCCGTTGAAAGTTAGAATGGAAGTACGCTCCTGTGTCAGGTCCTGATGTGAACTGTTGAAACCGGTAGAGCTGCAATTGCCTTTGGAAGTATGAAAAGTTGCTCTGGTGAAAGTACAATGGCATGATCTTGGCAGCAAAAGCATCGGGATCATGAATGATAAAGGCGCGCCCATGCGAGAGCCAAGAAATAATTCCCGTATTTCCATCTGCCTCAAGCTTGTCTAACATTCGTTGTAGTTGAAGAGGGAAGCTCACTACCGTGCTGTCAAAGGACGAAGATGAGGTGCCTGTCCCGTTGAAGTCTTGAGATATTGAAGGATTATCCACGTACATACCATCACTTCTCTGTGGACTGTAGCTTGTTCCATTGGGAGCCGAGGGAGAAGCAGCCAGCATGGTACCCGAAGGAGACTTGATCGTGGACCCAACGTCCGGACACTGTGGATAGCTTGACAAAACAGGTTCTTCATCGGGATTTCCCGCCGATCGAATGCGGTTTCCATTGACCTTTTGGCGGGTCATTCTCCGGCACAAAAACTTCATTCCTCGCAGAAACTTTTCATGGTAGTAGCTTCCTTGGTCGGGCCCAGCACTGAATCGATTAAATCCGTACAAGTTGAGCTGCCGAAGAAAACTGGACTTTTTGGTCATGACAAAGTAGCGAGGCAAAATGATTTCGGCAAACTCTTTTTGTTTGTGAATCTTGAAAGAGCGACCATGTGGCATCCAGCCAATGATATCGTCGTGACCGTCGTTTTCAATTTGAGTCAATGTTTCATGAAGTTTCAGTGGAAAGGCAGCATTTGGCGTCCTCGTAGAAGATCCCACACCCGTCAAGTCCTTTTCTTCCGGCAACGGCTTTTCGCTGGAATGATCTCTGTAGGAATGCTTGACAAAGAGACGACGATTGTTCTTGGTAGTAACACCTGGAGGTAACTTTTTGTAATTGTAATTTCCATTTCGCAATTGGCCATCCTCTCCCATTACCATAGGCTGGCCATCCAACCCAATGTAAATGCCATCTTCATTCGGCGTCAATTCAGTTGTGCTGCCATTTTTGTCTCCAGCCAACCGGATCTCTTCACTAATCATGGCGAGCATTTCAATGGAAGTATTGCGCCGCACATTCCGCGGAGGGGGAGGAGGCGGAGGAGGGGGGCCTCCCGCGTTGATAGTTTCCGAAGGTGGTAGAATACCGTTGGGAACTCGAGGCTCTCCTGTCAATGGCATGACCACGGATGGTGACGCGGACGGCATGCATGATAATGGCGATGCTTGTGCCAGTGCAGCTGTAGCAGGACCACTAGGGTTTTGAGGAGGTGGTGAAATGGCGGGTGCCGCACTAGAAATAGAGGCTGGTGCGTGGGGTATATCTGCACTACCAGAAGAGGCAGCTGGAGATGGAGCCTTGACAAACTTGGAAGCCGCTGGATCTGTAGTAGTCGGGGCTGTAGCTGTTGACGGGTGTACCTCTATGTTCGTCCAGGGATTTTGTGGATGTGCGGGTTGTGCTGGGACACTATGAAACGCTCGAGCAACCGGTTGCTCTGACATGGACAAAGGTGCCCTTGATTGGAGTGTAATGCAAGCCACTGCTGTACAAATAGACGGTGATCCCTGGGTTTCTCCTCTCATAAAAAGTCCTCCCACATCTACTCGAATTGGCAAAACAGGAATGGCCCGTGGGAGAATGGAAGTTAGCCTCGAAAGATCCACATTCATTGGTTCTGTACTGTTCGGTTGTTTCGGCGGTACTCCCAGTTGAACCTTGATTTGTAGCAAGTGCTGCGCAGGCATAGTCATCGGCAACCTTAAAGTACTCCGTTCCATGGCATCTTGCAAGGCCCGACTGGCCGCTTCCGTGGCATTGCCCCAGGAGGCGTGAGCGGAGGAATCAATCCCAAAGCCAATACTCGACATGGAAAGGACTGTATTGGCGTCTGCACCGCCATTTGGTGCAGTTTGTACTTGTTGGGCTTGACGTGTATGCAGTGGTACTGAACTGGTAGACGCTGCGGCAGATTCAGCAGATGCATGCTGAGGCATGTGAATATGAGATGGTTGAGGGGTTACGAATGCTCCAGCTGTGTGGGACGATGGAGGAGCTCTGGGGACAGCAGGAGCGGCTACAGGATTCGCGCCATTCATCAAGCCAGCTGTAGGAGCTGAAGCTTGTGGTACCGAGGCTACTCCTACGGCAGGGGCCGGTGATGAAACTGAAGGGGCAGAACTAGCAGACGTCCCATCACGGGTTCCCCATCTCTGAAGCGAATCATTGATGTTATGCGGAGCTTCGGCAGCAGAAGCCGCAGGAGGAGGAGCTTGATGACGTTTCATGGCCACCCCGAGCAGAGCAGCCGCTGTTTCTTGTGTTCGAGCGTCTACATCCATGCTTGTCATGTGATTTGTATCTTTCCAAAACAAAATGTGAATTGTCCGATTGGTCTCAGTTTCGCTGTTTCGTCAGTTTCAGGTGATTTCAAACTGCACTTTTCAGGTGAACGCTGGATGGCAATAATCTATGTTTCGCAAATGTTAACAAAGATTCAGCTTGTTTATTCTGTTGCTTACACAAAGCTGAGTTCACTTTACACAACTCGTTTTGCTTTCGCAACGGAGGGTGGTGGAGGTTGAGCTTGAGATAAAACACGAACTCATCAGACTCACTCAGTGGTTCTGGTCGAAAAAGAAGCAAAACTTGGGAACTTCGCAAAATGCGTGACAGTGGTATTTAACGCGTGCAATAATGATGTCTTTGAGTAAACGCTAAGATATTCCCATCAAAGTGAGGGATCCTTACCTCCTTGTCTAACATCATAACTTGGAATTCATTCGATTGACCAATTTATGAAACTTTATGAAATAGAGTGAAAACAAAAGGTGATTTGTTGATTTACAAATCGCTTTTACCTCAATTTTGCAGATAGATGTTTGTATCGTTGTGCTCAGGTGGTTCTTTCGAAGTTCGGGTTAACGCTGAACTCGTGCTGTCCGAAACCTCATTCCGCCAGCCGATGTTTTGTACCAATGCATTTTACGGCAAACATGTGTACAAGTTTTCACGTGCTTGACATACGTAAGCAGTTTGCTACTTAAAATCTCTAGAGGAAGAATTCAAGAACATCCGAACCGCGAACCTTCGGAACAGAATTGGGTCGAAGGCCAGGCCATTGCATTCGTGCAGATTTGATGTGATTTTTTGATGATGAGAAGCACTTCTTGATGTGACACGATCTGTCAACATTCTGATAGGTCAACGCGAAGATCAACATCAAAAGATCCGAAGCCCAGAGTTAGTACTCTGGATTGGAGACAGGCATCGGTCTTCTTTCTTGGAACTTGATAGTGTACCTCAATAGTGTACCTTGATACAAGTGAGGCGAAAACAATAATGTTGGGAGTCTAGTGTCGTGATATTATAGCGTAATCGAATGATGATGTTGTTAAAGTCGGAGGTATGGCATCTCTCGTTCGATATCCTTGCATGTCTCCATGTTCATCTAGCTACTCGAACATCACATCATTATAGCAATCAATCCCTAAGTTTCAGAGAGCGACAAGGTGACGCGAATTATTCCATATCCACCCACTGAATTCTGCCTAGCTTTGGATTCATCGTCTTCTGGATGCAGCGTCAGTTTCAGAGTATGCTTCTGCTGATCCAATAGAATTCCCAAGGGGACAGTGCAGAATCCGACTGGCTCGTCATCACTTCGTTGCCATACAGCCATGTAGTAGCCAACCACAAAATTGATAGTCAATACAGTTGTCACAAAAATCCAAACCCACTTGCCAAAGACCGACAAATTGTCTGTGACTCCATCGATGTAGGCAATGATCCAACAGACAGCTTCCAGAATCAGCAAGATACGGCTAGCGTACAAAAGAAGACTCCATTGTCCAGCGTCCGCATCCAGTACGCACAGATGCAACTGGGTGGTATGGGCATGTTCGGATCGAAAAAATCCATCGGAATCGAGTCTACCACCTTCCAAGGGAATTTCCAATTCTTCGTTCCATTGGGGAGATAGATTGCGGTAGCAGGTGGAAGATTGAACCCCTTTGGGTGGATACGGCATGCCGGAAGCTGGTACTAGATGACAAATGACGTAGCCATCGGCCTTTTCATTGGAATCCATTGGAGGGAGTTCGCCTTGGGGTCCCTCAATGCAGCCGTGTAGTTTGACTCGCAGGAAGCGGGGTTGAAAGGAGACAACCTGAGCAGCCCGTTCCATTAACAATATTCGATCCGTTTCGGAAAAGGAGCGAGATTGCTCCAATTGGAAGCTTCCTTCGGACGACAGCAAAAATTTGGACAGCAGAAAGAGTTTCTGGCGGTTGGTCATGGATTCCGTGTTCAATTGCATTTTAGAGGGGTCTTTCATGTCCAGATCAAAGTCATACTGCCAATACCGGTTCGGAGCCCAACTGACTCGGATACCGGATGACTTTCGTCGGTTCCGCAGCCCTACAACTGGGGAGGCTTGATGCTTTGACTCCAGTTCCTCCAAATGGTGTTGAACGACCTCTCCTCCAGTCTCGGTCATCAATTGGAGACCTTCTTGTGCAATGGCTTCGTCCGACCAGACGCATGATCGGTCACGGAGTAGTCTCTCCAAGATTCGTCTCAGTTTCCGGTAGCATGATTCGGCACCCGAATAGAACAGGAGCCAGCAGAGCAGAAAGAACTTGACTTCGTAGTAGAGTGGAATGTTCGATAGGATGACGCGCAAGGCAAAACCTTCGATGCAAAGCCAAAGCGTATAAATGACCCAGAAGGTGAGCCATTGCCGATCATCATTGCCGCCAGGTGTTTCCAGCGCCGATATGGACTTGTATCCACCCCAAAGGATAACGAGACCGAACCCAGCCCATTCAGCAAGTAACCCGGTTCCTTTCGGTTTGGTAATACAGTATGGACCAGCTCCAGGCTCACTGCAATATAGCTGGCTGCTCAGCCCAATTGCCAAGGCCGCCGTATACGTCGAAGCCAGGTTCTTCATTCCATTCCACCGTCCGATCCCCGGTTTCAATTCGCATCTCATTTTCACTCCTTCTCGTTTGCGTCGACAATATTGGCTCGGCTGGCAACTGAAAAAGGCGCCACTCTTGCAGTCAATGTCGGTGGAAGATACATAGCCATGCTCCATAGCGTCACAATAACCCAAAGCGATGCATGGAAATTCCGAAGTTTCTTCACTAGCCTCTTTAACTTTTTCGCACATTTCAATGCATGGTTTGATTCCGATACAAGCGACGTTACAGGGTATGACTGAAATACCATCAGATCCGACCATGAGGTCACCCACAACGTCGTCGCACAAACCACACATGGCCTTGGATTCGTCTCGTTTCTTGCCCGGAAAGGGAACGGTGGCAAGCCCAAGCCGACTGAGACGCACCAATAAGGCCATGTCATCGATTACCTTCAATCCAGTCCATACAATTAGAAAAGGTTTGAGGACCGCCACAAACCAAACCATCTTGAGTCATTAATTAGTATGTTTCAAAGGGAATAGATTGGGTTTGCGCTGTTGAAGCCGTTGATTGGTTGGTGCTGACGTCTCTGGTTCTTGTAGGCCTTGACTTATTGCTTCTCAACAAACCGTCGAAAACACTAACGGCAAATATCCAGCTGATTGATTGGAGAGATATGGTGAGGGAATGGGAGTGGGAAGTGTTGTATTTACAGGTAGGATGATACCGAAGGTACAATTGTGAATTGATGATGATGCGATCGATTCATTCGCACCCGTCGTCGTCACGACACACTTCAACTCCTTGTTAGATTCGGTCGAAGGAGTCAGTCATAGACGATCCATCAAGAAAGAATCTACCAGTAGGTACAGTACATGGTACGACTACCAGTACATGAAAATGAAACAAATACATACATAGTGTGCATACATAGTACATACAGCGTGCACACATAGCTCTAAAACCACATATTAGTGTTTTACATACTATTTCGATAATCGGCAAATCCCAGTAGGGTCGCTTGATGGCTGAGACATGATGGAGCAGATGTCACCACGAAGCATAGCTCCTCCTCCTCTGAGCGAGCCAATGCCATCCTGTTTACTGTTCAAATCCGCCAACACCAGAGAGAACTGCGAAGACGCAAAACAGCCAATACGCTGCCGCTGTAACAGATGAGGCTCCCCCCTTGTGAAGAGAACAGTTCGAGGAATCACAGTATTCTGTTCCAAGGAAAGCTAGTGTAAATAGCTGGAAGACTGTAGTAACTCCAAATGACCATCCCAGGAGGCGACTGAAGCGGCGAAGGCGGGCAAAGTCGCAGGCAAGTACCAGAAAGGTGAGCAGACTTAGTCCTCCGATCAACGAGGCAATCACGGCTGATGCCCTTGCCATTTTGTAGTAACCGTCCAGGTAGAAGAGGTAAGATACCTCGAAGCAAGCCTCGACTTCGCCATTCAGGTCTCCCTCCAAGTAGCCAGGTGCACCGTTCGTGGCTACAAGACTCCATAGTCCAAGACTGTACACCTCGACCGTAGTAAACGTGTCGTCGTTGGCGTTCAAGGGTGGAAAAGACATGATAATAGAACGATCGTCGGCTTGCAAAAACTCGCATGTCGAATTGGCGTATATAGAAAGAGCCAAGGCAAAGATGGCATTTATAGCGACAAGTGCGATAAGTTGGAAATGAGAAGAGCTATTTGTCTTTTGATTGCTGAGTTCTTCGTGCTGGTTGGAATCTGCCGGTTGTCGTCCTTCTTCCACCATGGCATTGTTGTTGTGCTGGTGTTGGTCTCGTTGGCGACGACGATTTCGGTTGCAGACGATCACAATAAGAGTGAAAGTGGAGACGAGTAGAAGCCCCCACGTGAGGAGAATGTACGTGAATGGGGTGACTCCACTTTCTTCTTCTATGATTCCAGAACGCACCGACTGGCCGCTCGTGCTACCTTGATTTGTGGATGGACTATCCGACATTGTAGTTGCTTTTGAAGTTGGGAATAGAAAAGATGTAAATTTAAAATTGTGTGAATAGAAAGAGAAGTGATGGGGGCTTATTTTGGGCGATGAAAACAACTCGTGTTTATATTTTATAAAATACTACCGTTGTTACGTACAAGGCGCGTTCGGATTGGCTCCAATCACCTGAAAAAAAGTGTATGCAGTGTTTGCCGGCATCAGCGAACACAGTAGAAGCATTCTTTGCACACCACAACGGTCGACCATTACTCAAAATGAATATTGGAGGAAGACTCACTCACTCATGCGAAAAAATATGGACTATTGCGAATAGAAACCCATTTTTGACCAACAAAAATATTCAGGATCGAACTTGGTTTATTGGCTAGTTTGACAGCAAAATCAAGACTACAAGAAGCCCAGCTGCAGAGCCAAGTTTTCAATCTGGATGAGGAGAATACCAGGTCTAAGTATTTAGTGATACCAGATCTGATAGCAATAGTAGTGGATCCACCAGCATGAGCAGCAAGGTAGATCAGCATCGAGAAGAAGAAAGCATTGGCCATCAACGGATATGGCCAAGCACGAACACTTGTTGCTCAATCTAGTCCAACTTGGCCAGAGAACTTTTCGAATCCTGAAAGCCCATATAGTTGCAGTAGAATGCCATGATCCAAAATGGGACAAACGCAATTCCAAGCCCTTTACCAGCAGCGGTAATAAAGGGATTATATCCCAAGAATGGGAACCCAGTAGCATGGTGCAGATTTGCTAAGGCCATAAACGCTGCTTGAACCATGAATAACATGTGGAGAGGGTGGCGCTGGGAAACTGGTAGGGTGGAAGCATAGAACGCTGCTGCAGCACACGCAACAAAACCAACCGAACCTTGTCGCTGTTCAAAGGTCCGGACGAAGATAAAGTCGGCTGCGGCCCGCCATTTCTCAGAAGGGGCCGCATCAATTGCTTTCTGTAACATATTCACTGTGTCATCCAGGGTAAGATACTCGCCTTCAATTTTTTGAAAGCTAAAAATTGGTAGAATGTTTGCTACAAATCGAGCATGCAATGGGAAGAAACATTCCGTCCCATGGACGAGAAGAGGCACAGAGCTAAGCAGAAGTCCATATCCAGAATATGAGTTCCCCATATTATAGTATGTAGTCCTTATTTCAGTTTCTAGATATTAGTCTCACTTGAGGAGCATGAAAAAGATATGAGAATGAATTGCATGATTTTCAATTTGCTCTTCAGAATTTCGAAATTGTGGAAACTGCATTTCAGAAACAGGCAATTTGAAGTTTCGATCTGCATGTGCTGTTTGGTCGCGGCCAGCTGGTGAGCAGAAAGTCTTTTACATATTACAGTAGGAAAGTCTTTGATCTTTGACCGGTGCCAATAAAAGTATCGAAAAGACATATTATAATATATATATTTATACATATATATAAATATTTTTTAAAAAAAATATATACATAATATATAAATATATAAGTTGCATGGATACCCGGTACAAATCGTTTTGCTGCATATTTTCACGTTGTTGAGTTTGTAGTTAGTGAAGTTTTACGCGATATAAAAATCGAAAAGTATCGTACAATACGCATACGATTTTATCATTACCCCTGATGATGCTGCGTATATAATACCTTTGCCATTCCTGTATCTGAAATCTGAAATTGGATGACACCAATGAGGCCTGATGACGAGATGATATTTTCCATTGGCACTGTCATCAGGAATAGTGTTTCACGCCAACGATTGTTCTATCTATCGCAATCATTTTTATAATTCATATTTTAAAATAGGACCAAATGAACAAATGTACTTTTTCTTTAAAATTCTCGCTTCCTTGAAAAAGATGTTGCCATGCCATGTGTAATTGGACTTTCAAAGTAAACTTTTCCTGGCTGAACTTCCCCTTCCAGCTTTACGGATCAAATGAACAACATTCTCTCGACTACTCGGAGTCGTCATGATCGTCGATTTCCTTTGAGGGCTTCTTCGATGATCGGGATCGACTACCATCCGACCGTCTGTAGCAAAAAGCAGCACAACAGACTCCGCACAGGCCAATGGCAAAAAGCGCAATACCAATAGCTGTGCCCAAAGCCAGGCCCACCTCCGGAATCCCCCAGTCCATATTAACTGTTGTCTTCTTTTTGTAGTCGTTGTATCCAACCTGTTTATTAGCGACTGTCAATGCTGCTGTGCCAAGACATACAAACATGTCTCCTTTTCCTATAATCTCTGCCATCTCTGAAGCGGAGGGTACCGCACCTGTACCAGTCGGATCCAAGTGATATCCACAGTCATCCATGAGCGTACTATCACTTGGCTCGTCAACTAGTAGTCTGCGAGAGATCGTTTCAGAAAACGCTAGAGCATTTCCGCCGTCGTGAATAATATGCTCACGCAGCCTTCTTGCGGAACAGGTCAACTCGCATGGAAAGGGCGTCACTTGATAGGCTTCTTGCACGATGCAAGTCATGAACTCTAGAAGCTTGGGGATGCATTCTGAGCAGCAACCAGCAAGAGGGCAAACAGGATCCATAATCTGTGTTTGGAATCCCGTACAGGTTGCAAGCGCCGGTATATCAAGACTTTCAAAAGGATTTTCAGTGACGGTGTCCTTCAGAGCCATGCACCTGTCAAGGCAACCATCGGCAATAGATTTGACACAACTTGTAAACCCCGACAAGGAGGAACTAATACAAGCTGGTAACTGCGCATCAACGACGGTAGGAAGAGCTAGAAGCAGCCATACAGCGAGAAATCGAAGAAGCCAACTCATTTATATGTAAAGAAAATGAAATGACTTGTTGAGTTGTAAGTTCTGGTTGCATGAAATGAAATTGATTTTTGATACCGGCAATGAGAGACTCTTGAAGGGCATCCGGGTTCGTTTTGAAAAGGAAACTCATTCGCGCGTCCCATATATCTTTGCTTCCAATTCGGGTTGGGAATGAAATTATTATTTATTGCTGTTCACCAAAGACTCGAATTTGAGCTGATTGTTGAGCGTGCGTGTTTTGTTTGGGCGTATTTGGGCAAGGCTTGATTTCTACAGATCGAACACAGACGAGAGACGAGAAGAGGATGAATGAATATTTGGTCGAAGTAGTCAGAAACGATTCACAACGGGTCAAGCGGAACCTGCCTGGTACCAGTAGCCCTCTAGAGCAGTGCAAATGCATTGCTTTTTATGATTACCTAATGTCACTTGTATCCTATAGTGCTTATGGTGGCGATGATCACCATTACAAAGTCGCTTGACGATGCGGCCATGATGCAGCAGATTACACGAAGCCGGGCTGTGCTTTGTTCTTGCCGGTGAAGCGATTCCTTCATGTTGTTCGTGGATCATGATTTGCAGCTTAAATCAAGTCAGTGCACATTCTTAGCTTTCGTAGAAACGTTCTCGATAATGCCGAGCAATTCAGCGAACATTGCAATGGGGTCTTCTTTTGAGTGCATCCTCCTCCTTTTTTTATTTGTTCTTTCGTGTTGTTGATGATCCCAAACAATGCACTAGTACCCTTCGGACGCAATACTGTAGCTCAGAGATACATCATCATCATCACCGTTCTCACCATTACCTTGATAAGAATCATCACATTCATCGAAACTCATCATCTCGAGCAATTCCAAACCATCCAAGGAAGAAGTCCTTCCCATTTCATGATCATCACGAACTTGATTAACTTGATGGTGGTTCTGATGGTCTTGGGGAAACGTGGTTTCGTATTGATCATCATTATCATCGTTTTCCACAAGCCTCTGGATTTGGCCGGGTGAAGAGACTGGATGATGATGATTTAGTGCTGGACTATTCCAAGGAGTCTGTGCCGGTATCGAGTGGAAAATCTGGACCCTTTGTTCTTGTTCGCATCTGGATTCTTCTTCTACCCATGGAGGCGGAGTGGGAGTTCTCGTCGTAGTTTTGGTTGGGGCACGGGGAGGACGGCGGCTCATTAGCTTTTGCTTCTTCTTTTGTGGCGTGTAGTACATAGTACTAGATGTACTGCTGCTGTCGTTGGAGTTCTTCTTGTTCTTGTTACCAGTAATTGTTTGTTCGCACAGATACGCCATGATTGTAGTAGAGTGGTGGTGGGTATCCTCGAGTTCAATTCTGCTTGCGTGTGTATATGTGTATTCTGTTTACTGTATGTACTTGTACAACAATTGTGTTTTGTGTTTTCTTTTCACGTTTGAAATTTTTGTAATGCTTGGTGGGTTTGCAATGATGAAGTGGGCTTGGCTATTTTTTCAAATCGTGGATTATTTCTCAACTTGGTGCACCTTTCTCCTGTTTCGGTTTTGTGGTGTCGTGTGTAAATTTGAAACCTCGTGGAGCAGTTCTTCGCTTTTGTAGGTTTGTGGGAGCCATCGGTTTTTAGTTTTGCCGATTGCGACGCGATGTCAAGTCACTCAACGGATGTTCTTTGTTGAGGCCATCGTGTCAAGACATCAGAATTTTCACGCCGACTTCAAGTTCCGGATTTTTGGAAAGTTGGAGTTTTGGTCGATGGAATCGAAGAAGTCATGTTGGTCGAAAGTTCAGATCTAAAATACTGTCTGTCCGTAGCCAGTCAGTCGAACGGATCTATGCAAGATGGATCCTACCGTTACGCGTTGAGACATTCACGTGATGCGATATAGCGCTCTTATGTCTCCAGTTTGGATACCGCAAAGAAGTACATCAACACCGTCTTGTTGTTGCACTTGAGAAATACAAGCCTTTATAAACCTACAACACTACAAGACTAGAACAGCAGCAGCAACAACAACAACAACAACAACAGTACAATGAGCAGTTCACCATCGAAACAACAGGATCAAGTGAACCTTAGATCAGCAGATGGATTGATGCAAGGTGGTGAACTACCACAATATGACTTCAAGACCAAGATGGCTGGCATTGCTGGCAATGTCTTGGAATGGTACGACTTTTCCGTCTATGGATACTTTAGTGATATTATCGGAAAGGTCTTTTTTGCTCCAGACGCCACGGGAAAGGCTGCCTTGGTGGAATCCTTTGCCGTCTTTGGGATTGCCTTTTTGATTCGTCCCATTGGTGGGGCTATTTTTGGGTACATGGGGGACAATGTGGGACGCAAGTCGGCATTAGAGAATTCCATTTTGCTCATGGCGTTGCCGACATTTATCATGGGATGTTTGCCAAGTTATGCCAGTATTGGTTGGTATTCTACTGCATTACTGATCATCTGCCGCATGTTGCAAGGGTTCTCAGTGGGTGGTCAGCTCATGTCGTCCGTTGTCTTTGCATTGGAGGCAAGCCCTGAATCGACATGGGGGTTCCAAGCAGGAGCTGTATTTGCTGCAACAACGCTCGGTGCTGTAATCGGCAGTTTGTTTGCCTATGCCCTGAGAGAAAACTTGACTGAGGAGCAGATGGAATCCTTTGGTTGGAGAATCCCATTCTTCTTTGGCGTAGTGGGTATCATTCCAGGTCTTTACCTAAAGGTATGTAGTATGTTTGCTTCCTGCAAGATCTACAGTGATTTCTGAATTGGTTGGATCCAACACATTCGCACTATTTTCTATATTTCAGCATCGCAGCAAGGAAATCCCTGTACCAAAACCCGCTCCCCAAATTAGCCCAGATGCTGTCACCACTCCAAGTGTTGGTGGGCATCCCCAACTCGAACGACAGGGAACTTTTCAAGAGACTTTTGCTCCCAATAATAGACGTGCGCTCATTGCTTCCATGTTGGTACCGGTATGTTGTTTTTGCGCGCATTGTTACCGTGATTGCTGAAAACGCTAGCGATGACTCTCCCTCTCAGTTTCTCACATTTCCTATTACTACTATTGCAAACGATCACAGGCCTTTACTTCGGGAACCTATTATATCGTATTTGTTTGGATGGCCGTTTACATGCAAACCATTGTCGAAGTTCCACACGCCTTTGGTATCAACAGTGCCGTCGGAGTCATTGGAATTGGCCTTTGCTTTGCGGGGGGATGGATGGTGGACCGATTGGGGGCCAAATCCAGGGTTCCACTCATGTTGGGATCATCGCTCGCCTTTGGACTTGTTGCTCCCTACTTTATTTCCACAATGGGACAAGGTGATCCTCTTACCTGTTTCATTTTGCAAGGAACCATGGCAGTCTTGATGGGCATCTTTGGTGGAGCCATGCATCCGTAAGTTTTACCTTGCATGGTACCTCTTGAGTTGAATGTTTGTTGTTAGTGTCTAACGTTTGTGGTGCCTCCTTTTTTTTCATATTGGCAGATGGTTGATTTCCAACTTTCCACCCCATATTCGTTTGACTTCGACTACCTTGGCCTACAACATGGCGGTGAGTCTGGTCGGTGGATTTAGTCCATTTGTGGCAACATTGTTGCAAGAAGAATACGGTAATGCCGCTCCTGGATACATTGTCAGTGTATTGGCGGTCTTGGCTTGGCTTGGATTAATCATTGGATCGACGGCAAAGACTTCATGGAAGGACGATCGGGCCAATGCTCCCAAGTTGAGTAGTGTCGTATAAATATTCTTAGATGATAGGAAATTATGAAGGAGGGAGTCACATAGTGAGGGTGTACGACTTTCCAAGTTTTCGGGTCGGCTTTCTGAGAAAGCACAATTCTGTTTACTCAAAACGTGCTAAAATAGTAAAAGTGACATGTTCTGAGTTACGAAGCCTATTTCCGTTTCTTCGTATCTCCATTACTCATCCGTCGTGCGTCAGTTTTGACAAACCTCAATCAATGTCACCTCGAAACGAAACAACAAACTTCAATACCTTTTGGATCCAACAACAACTTCAACATCGCTGCAAGAATAGTGTTTTCATGTTCACCATTTGTCATAGTTCTGACTGTCGTAATTGGCGTCCACTTTTCTGGTCCACAGCTAGAACTTGACAGGAAAATGCAATTTGTCCACGCGCCCAATGACTGTTGGGTTGCCTTTGTCCAGCAATCATTCAAACGAAGATGAATCTTTGCCCCTGAAGGGTATCGTTGTGGTAATTACTGGATTTAGCTCAGGCATTGGGCTGGAGCTATCCAAGCTCTTGGGCACCAAGTTGGGAGCGACAGTCATCGGTGTTCTTGGTCGATCTCCCAATAAAGTCCAGAGTTTGACTGATGGCAGGATTCTACAATATAAGCATTTGTGGCCGATTTCTCGAATCTAGATGCAGTTGCTGCAGCTGATATAATGGCGTATTTTCAATTTCTAGTCTTCCTATCAAGATATGTTATACACGTACTCTTCGCAGCTAGTTTCAATATGCATGAATTGACTATTAGCAAATTACAAAAACTGGTTCGGCAATTATTTATGAAACGCCAGTTCCATAGCACTGATCCTTTGAACCTAGCGTGGCAACGAAAAGTGTTTTTTGCTGCGTTTAGAAGGCTCCAACCATGTCCAAGTCTTGGGTGGCCAAGATGTCATAAACACAATCCTTGATTGAAAGGGGATCATTCAGTGTGGCACAGGCTTGTTCCGCTTGCTCCAAGGAGATTTTAGACTCGTCCAAACGACGTCTGCGGTCACCACGAGGATCCTCGGGGAGAACGCAAGGTTCAGGGAATTGAGGCTGCGAGAGGTCATGGAACAGCATGTCGTCGGATGGAAGCACCTGCCATTCGGTACCAAACTCGGTGAAGTCATGGATGACAGTCGCTTGGTCGCGAGATAGGGTCTTTCCGCTCTTGAAGTTACCAAGCATGCCAACGGTGTTTCCGAAGGCATCAGCCGAAGGATTCGCAAAGTCAACCTTGACAAATTCTTTGAAGGTGGAGATGACTATCTTTTGGCCAGGGTACTTGGAACTCAAGTCGATCTCAAATCTGCGCTTAGGGTGGCCTGGGAACTTGTCATCGTAAAGGGTCAAAGGGAATCCTCCGATGCTATTTGTCTTTCCTTGGAATTCAAAGTTGACCCAGTAGTTCGATACTTCGCGGTCCATATCACCAGAACCTTGGACCTCCAGAATGTCGCCACCAATGAAAATGGCAGCACTCTTGATGTAACTCCAGTATCGCACTAATTTGGTTCGGATTTGGACGTTCAGCCCAGTTCCATCGGCAAAGTCAGCATCTTTAGCCAAGGTCAAATCGCACTGACCATGGAACTCGAAGTGCTCTCCCTGCCATGTTGTGACTGTGAAAGAACGGATCGCGGATGAGAATGGAAAGTTTCCAATCAGCTTTGAACATGCCTTTTTGTTGTGATACTTACAATGGGGATCTCCCTTGCTGCCTGCATCGGTAGCTTCGAGGCTTCCAATATCAGGAAAGTCAGGGAAAGCGACCGGACTCGTTGTTGGTGCAGCTGAAGAAGTAGGTGCAGGCGAATATGTAGTAACGACCGGGCTCTTCGTTGGCGTCGATGAGGGCGACGTCGTAGGCGAACTTGTTGGTGCAGGTGAAGGCGACGTTGTGGGCGAATCCGAAGGTGCAGGTGTAGGCGAACGCGAAGGTGAAGTAGAAGGCGGAGATGTAGTGGGTGCTCCAGTAGGTCCAGAAGTAGGCGCAGTAGTTGGCCCACTTGTAGGGTTACAATTGGTGGAGAGGCAGAAAATTTCTTCTGCCTTGACATTAACAAAGGCATTTGCAAATGAGAGGGCAAGATTTTCATCCTCATCTCTGATCCCTCGTCGAAGGGAGTCAACACACCACACTGCACCCGCGGTATCAGTAATCAATGGAACATAATGTTCGTAGGCAGTATGCGCTGGGTTAGAAGTACCTTCCTCCGGATTGTTCGCTGCAATCTCGTTGAAAGGTGCCTCCGAGAGCTCGGTGGTCCAGCCTCCACTGCCATCTGCAATGAATAGTTCCGAACCACTGCTGGTAACTTTTGCACCAAGATTGTTAAGTTCGCCAAGAATATTGATTGGAATGACAATATTCAGAATGTAGTCACGGTCAGCCATCCATCTCTGGACTTCGTCCATAGTTACCCCTATGTTTTCGCTGTCTCGATCCTAAACCAGACAAGAGGAGAAGATATTTAGCAATACATCAGAGTGCTACATGTCGGTCAGTGTAAGTAAAGCTTACCTCATCAGTCACCAAGATCAAATTTCTATCGATGGTGGCGCATTCTTCATGCATATTGTAACCAGAAATCACAAGAGGTACCCAGTACATGGCACTTCTCAACGCATGGTACCCATCTTCGCGACTTCCGTTATTCACCCATTCAAGGAGTTGAGGATTCTCAGGTGCAAATGGTGCGGTCTGCTTGAATCTGGAAGCTCCAAGGTGACGAAAATACATAGGATCTGTTTTGACGTTGGCGAGATTTCTAGCTCCAAAGCCATTAGAACTCAAAAAGACGTGATCGTAACCATAGATCGTGTAGAGACTTTCGGCAATTTTAGGAAGAGCTGTTTCTCTTAAGAAAGCTTGCTCTGTCTCCATTGATCCGGATTCGTCAACTACTACGTTCACCAGCGCACACTTGCTATCTCCAGAGGTAGGATTGTATTTATAGCGGGTACTAACCCATCTCGGCCACGTCTGGGCACTGACAGAGGAGAGCACCAGTAGAAGAGCAAGCAAATATCTCATGGTGGTATTTTTTTGCACTCGAATAACCTCTCAGTTGAAAATTGTGAGAGAGGTTTGTATGTGTAACGCTGTCCGACGGGAAACTTCCGTGAGGAGACTTCCGCAAAAAAATTGTCAAAAAAGAGTCATCTCTTTTTTATCAATTACCCGGTAGTCCTCTTTTTAAACGTGAAACTTTTGTCTATTAGAGGGAAATCCATGCCTTGCACGCTCGTCGAATGCATAGTGTAGTCGTAACCATTGAGCATTTTGATTTAAGAAAAGTACCTAAGTTAAGTAAAAGTATTCAATAATCGTGTGTTCCACCCCCCACCTTTCCGAAGTTGCAACAATTTTGACACAGCTTGGTCGACTGTAATGACTGTGATTGGCCCAAGATCAAAATACGTGTTCTCATTTCTGATCGTATTTTTGTTCGGCCTTTACGATGAGGGCATTGAGGTCTTCCATTTTATCTGGCGTCCAAAAATGATATAACAGTCGCAAAATAACTCTATCTTTCTGTCAGTATTTGCACACAAGTTCGAAATGACTTGGTTGCTGTGGTGCAATACTGTGGAGACGGTCGCCTGACCGTCGTTCATAGAGTCAATATTGAATCCATTGGTTCGACCGCTTTCTTCCGTCTACGTTAGAGTATCGGCTTGTTTTGAAACTGGGTACTAGGACCAGTAAGGATGATGGAGCCATCAGACAATATCATTTTTTCGCTTGGCTGCAAGAATTCATCATGTACTCGCCGCAATTTGTTGAGAGATCGTGTGATCAAACGAGTTTCGTGTCAACGCACCACCATGATATTGGCTGACCTTGAAACGTAGACTCGCGGTGCTGGGATCCATTTCGATTGTGGTTTGACTTGGGACTCGTGGTTCCTTTCGCTGTCTCCTGAACCCATCCCAGTAAACGGACCCCAGCGACTTGCATATTGTTCGAGGTGAAGCAGTAGATGGTTTTTAATTTT